AAAATATTAAGGAATCACTCAAGTAACAATTGCAAATCTTATTTTGATTGATTATAGTAAATGTGCATCGTTACATTAATTATTTAATCGCATAGAGAATAACGTTTGTGCAAAATTTGACTACTTTATGATTTACTCATTCGATTCGTTAACAAAAATTTTACATAAATATAATTATAGTTGTGCACGATTATCACGAGCTAATCACCCTTAGTCTGTTGCTGAAATGCAGCAAAGAATAAATAGGTCCTTGCACTGCAGCCGTGGATCCTAAACATAAAAGGTCCTTGCACTGTCATTGCAGCCGTGGAGCCTTTTTTTTTTTTTTTTTTTTACATAGTTATCTATTATTGGAATGGGGGGATGGGAGGGTACCAGCCTTCTATCTCAAGGCGAGCGATAGCGAAAAAAGATAACTCTCTACATTAATTATGAACTTTTAAATATCTTAAAATTGCATAAGCCACCACTACCATCAACACCAAGCCCACCAGCTACGCCAACCCCAATACCTGCGCCTGCTCAAACAAACTGAACCTCAATTCAAACAATTTACCAACGCAATAAACTTTCATGTGACTGTGATAAAGTCATCTGATCTCAATAATGATCGCCCTGTCACTTCGTTGACAAGCTTCCAAGAGCGATGAAGTTTAAGTATATTCACGGGCTTTTTTTATTAATGAACTGTTTTATAGGGCACAATTACAAGAAATAGAAGGGTAGTCTCTATTTATTTGGGCTATAAGATCTATCGAGTTATGGACTACTACTATGCATGTCGTTACAAGAGAAAATTCTAACTCTATTTATATAGAATTTACAAGAAAGAGAGAAGGGGAAATTTCGAACGTTTCTTGATGCCTTTGCACCATCCTTTTCATTGAGCATAAACTGCATTTTTTCTTTTTTGACTAACACTTTTCTCTTTATTCTCACAGCCTTTGCTTTTCAATCACGCCATCGCTTCCAATGAAGGAAACGAAAGAATGAAGCTTCTGAAGAGTTACATTAACTAGAGATAAATGAGAAACTAATTATGATGATGTGTTCATTTGCAATTATTTACAATATATTTTTAATTTTGATTTAGGCCTTCATTATTATGTACTTTTTATTGGCACTCATTGTGATCGTGTAAGATAAATTTTTCAAAAATTTAATGTATCCTTTTTATAGAAGTTATTATTGATTATATGATAAAATATTTTCATAAATTTATATATTTTAATTTTGACTTTATATTAATCTAGGCCTTTATTATTATATTTCTTTTTATTGACGCTCATTACGATTGTGTACGATAAATGTTTCAAAAATTCAATATATCTTTTTATGATAAAATATTTTCATAAATTTATATATATTTAAATTTGATTTTATTAAATCTAGGCCTTCATTATTATAAGACTTTTTATTGGCACTCATTACGATTGTGTAAGATAAATGTTTCAAAAATTCGATATATCTTTTTATAGAAGTTATTATCGATTATATGATAAAATATTTTCACAAATTCATACATAAGTAGATTGATTCTCGAAAAAATATTTACGTCGACACTTAGGTTTGAAAGCGCAAATATGAATATCGATGAACAAGAACAGAAATTTCGTGGTATGAAACAATCATTTATTTAATTTTTTTTTCAAATTCATAAATCAAGAAGAAAATTATGTCTATTTTTTCGAACTTGCAGAGAATGTAGATTGTCAAGATCTTACAGAATCGGATGATAGCCTTATGAATCCGGCAATAGAAGAAGCTCAAAATGTTGAGAACTTTGAGTGTTCTTCAAATATTAATCAAGGTCACTCGCAAAATTTTGATCAATCGAATAATCATAATTACTCATTCCAACCAGGGTCAAATAAGACATGCAACACTAACAGCTATAGCAGTTCTCGTTATAAACAAAATACAAGGGAGATGAAAATTCATTTCAATTCCAACATAATTATGGCCGGGTAGTGAGCCATAACGTAAATACCCAGAAACAAAATTTATCCAATTATATTGATTCACCATTCGAAGCTGAAAATCAATATTACCAATATTCAAATAATGTAGATGATAAACTACATAACAATTTGTTTGCGAATAATGCAAGATATCAATCAGGTTTAATAGATTTAAATAGCACTAACAGTAATAGTGATTTTGTTCATGAACGTTACAAGAAAATGGCTCTAATTACCTTCCAAATCAATATAATTATAGTCAAGTAGTTAATTATAACACTTCATTTGACTCAAATCCTTCAGATTTGCAATTCAAATTATATCTCTTCCAATTGATTCATTCACCTTTTTCTTCTCCAACTTCTCCTCCAACTCCTTTTCCAAACATCTCTCCAACTACCTATTCAATTACCTCTTCAATTAATAAAAGTGACTCTCCACTTAGTAAAAATTTTAAAGAAGTTAAAAGACAACTAAGTGTACCTCGCAACAAATCCTCACCACTTAGTAAAAATTTTAAAGAAGTTAAAAGACAACTAAGCGCACTTAATGAAAATTACCCTCCACTTAGTCAAAATTTTAATGAAGATAAAAGACAACTAAGCGTAACATATATGACAAATGAGTCCTTTAGTGATTATCATGATTCTGACGGGATTACTATCTCTAATAATCAAAGGTTGATATCTATTCATGACACTACTCAAATGGTAAATGATTCGAATATGAATCTTGAATTCGATCCTAAGTACCATTTTCGTGATGCAATTGAGGGTCATAAATATTTTAAAGTAGATCAAAATGTAAACATTAGTTACGAGAGTGACCTTGCCGAATGCATTCCTGGCTTATATCGTTTACTTGATTTATGTAAAGATGACGGGTCAAATGGACTTGGTACTTAAGTAACTTACTAATATTATAAACTTTATTTGCATAATTCAAATTGTTTTAACTTGACCAATTTTATTATTATTATTATTATTATTTACAAGTCGATAAAATTATCATTTCCATTGATTCTCTCAAACAACTCTGTAATGATACGGTTCCATGCAGTTATACTTCAATTTCAGAAATTGATTATAATCAATTGAATACCTTTCCATTTCGACTTATTGGTTGTTATGGAAATCATACCTTAATTGCAAAATTCTTGTTAAATATGGGTATAATAAGTCAGCATCTGTAAGTTAAAATTTTCGCGTTATGAATGATAAATTTAAATATTTTAATTATTTATATTCTTTTATTTACATTTTCTTTATAGCTTTGATTTACTTACAGCATCAGGTTCACTCTGCAGCAACCAAATAACTGAAGATAAACCAACACTTAGACCATGAGATATAATTACTTATGAATATCTGTATTTTTTTTTTATTGAAAATATAGCTGAACAGATGATTTATGCAAAATATCCTAATATTCAACAGAAACTAGTCGAGGCTGTTCAAATTAATCTTAAGACTTGGAAAAACTTGAAAAGACAATACATGTTTTCAACATTAATCACAATCGAGGCATATGCTACGACAGATGAAACTAATAAAATGAATGCTCAGATTGGCAATCTCGCGCTTAATACATTTTATAATATGTTTATTGATAAAGAACATGATGCACACAGACTTGTTAAAAAGCATATTAAAAATGTATGGGAGCAAGGATGGTTTAGTTCATTATTTTCCATGTTCAATCATCAAAATTTAGCAATGAATTTCTTACTACCAAATGTAACAAGATGTAACAAGGTTACCGAAATTATAAATAAGCAACTGATCAAGAATTTATTCAGAATCTATCTACAACCCCCTTTTTCAATCATCATGAAGAGATAAGACTAAAAGTTATTGATATCTTTTTTGGTGAATATTCTAGATGGAAAAAAGACATTTTTCCTAACAATGTTAGAAATATTTTGCCTCGATATCTCGATAGAAAAGAGGAAATAAATAAAAAAAATAAATAATGAATTTAATTCAATGAAGCATGAATTAGAAAAGTGTGAATTTGAAAAGATATGCAAGAAAATCGAAGAAATATATTCAACAGGGTATGTTTGACTTATTTATAAAGTAATACAAATTAATAAGATTGTTATTTAATACTTCTATTATAAAAATAGACCTATATTAAAGATATTGAACATTAACAGTAATTATACGTTTATTAAATAATTTGCTTTTATAATTTAGTTAATGTATTATTAATAACTTTTTAATAAATGATAGAACATCAATTTATATTTAATTCTTTTAAAATTGAATATGAAATTGAAAAGAAATTTCAGGCAGAACAACTACAGATTAATATTTATGAAACTTGGCTAGAGCAATCTGATCTTTTTAACTTACAAGAGAATGATATGCATATACCTCAACCAATTTTATCAGCTAAGCTACATAGTTCTTCTAGAGTATCTTTCAGAATTGATTCAAGTGTATATGAATTGAGGTAAAAAAAATAAATTTCTAACATAATTTATTACAAAAATTTAAATTAACAAATAACTAAAAACGTTGTATTATATTTAACCATGAAAGAAAATTTCTCAATTTGAGAACAAAAAATATTTAATTATTTAGTGGAATAAAGCAGAAAACTTGACAGAAATCTTTTTTAGTATTGCACCACGCCTCAAACCTATTTTTAATTCAAGATAACCAAGGCATTTTAAGCGTTTAAATTAGGGTTGCTGGTGCAGTGTACTTGGCGACGCCAATGGTGCACCACCTGGCACGCCAATCTTGGTATGGTGCAGGGGGTGCCGGTCAAAATTCCGACAAGCACAATCCCGACAGGTCATAATCCCGACAAAAAAATCCCGACAGTCAAAAATCCCGACAATTAAAAATCTTGATAATTGGGTAGAAATCCCAAATACGGGATATGTTTAAAGTGAAGTAGACTCTTATAATTTAATTAACTTTAGGGTTAGGTCACTTTAGATGAGCGCTAGGCTTGGGTTAGCTATGGTTTATGATATTTTTTTTATCAAAATTTTTAATTTTCGGGATGTCGGGATTTTTGCTGTCGGGATTTTTTTGTCGGGATTATGACCTGTCGGGATTTCGTTTGTCGGGATTTTGACCCAAACCCAATGATACTTGGTAATCTATATATTCAAGTTCACAGATATATTTACTATTAAATGTTATTTTCAAGCAGTCTTATTTTTGAAAAATTAGTAGACAAGCATAAAATAATCTAAGTACTAGATCAGCAGTCCATATAACATACGTCGAACAAGTAGTAACTAATAGGGGTGCTTATATCTAACTTTTTTTATTCTCTTTCGATTGAGACATAAATGGGAAGTTTCAGGGTCGAATATTTTACTGCAGCTGTTGTTACGACCGGGGGAGAGACTTTGTATCGGCTGAGCCAATTTAGCTTGGGGTCGTAAGCATTAATATGAGAACCCGATTATTTATTAACACACACAAGGCACCAAAAAGTTCAAATATTCCCAGCGATACAAGTAAGTATCTTATGAATGTATCCTACAAAGTGCACCCAGTACACTATTTTACTTTTCAAATATTCTTTATTCCAACTCAAAGACAACCTCAAACTTATTCTCCAACCTTCCAAACTAAAAATCCTACTGCCTACTTATCACGGGGTTATTCAGTATCCGGTTTCTGATATCTAGCTCAAAGGTACACTTGTCTCTATACACTAGTGACGTCGCACTAACACTTTTACAGGCAAATTACACTTTATTTCTTTTTAATACCGTTTCTTGCTATCACGATTCCTGCCCCTTTTCTTTATTTATTGTCTTTATTTATATTTATCTTGACCTAATTACATCATTTATACATCTTTATATCTTAATAAACTTATACTATTCTCTCATTACATTGCCTCACCGTCATTGTTTCGTCGATCGACGATCACATGCTACATAATAATGCTGCCCAACACTATCGACCCCGTCATAATGCTGCCCAATCATTCCATCACGTGACGCCGACGAAGCATATTTCCAACCCTCCTTTCCCTTTCTAGACTAACTATACAACCCATTATCAATTAGTATCCCTCTTACCAAGTATAAGGGCTGTTCTAAAACTATGCGACACGAGCTGGACCCCTTAGATCCTCGTCCTCGAGATCTTTATCTTCAAAATCGTACAGTATTTCATCTAAATCAAGTTTTTCTTGACAATTGGTATTCCAGGTAAATAGCTTCTTCACTCTATTTCTTGTTATTGGATCTGTTATTTCACAGCCACCTAATTCATTCAAGTACACCTGCCCATACTTTCTAATTTTTCTAACCTGATATGGCCCCATCCATCGGTAATCCAATTTTCGGGATGTAGTATCTAATGTCGAATCATACACCAATACTAAATCATCTATTTGGTAAGATTCTCTTATTTTTGCTTTTCTATCATGTATTTTCTTCCAATGTTGTCTAATATCATCTTAGTCTAACTGTGCATTTTTTAAATCATCTACCATTCCTTTTATTTGCTTGGTACGGTACTCTAATAATTCATCTGTTGTTTATTCTTTTCTGGCAACATAAACTTGATAACTTTCTAATATCAATTGAATTGGTGTAACTACATCACGCCCATAGACTAAACGAAAAGGAGAATACCCTAAATCATTAACAGTAATATTGATAGCCCAAATGGTGCTTCTTACATATTCATGCCACTTGTTCTGTTTTTCAGCACATATTTTCCTAATAATCCTTGTGAATTTTTATACTGTACACTCCTGCCCAACCATTAGCTTCCAGATGATAACTCATTACAAATCGTTAGTCAATACTTAATCTAGTTGCTAATTCTGCTAATATCTTATTCTTAAATTTTGTTCCACTATCTGACACTAATACAGCGAAGCAGCCATGTCTCATAATAACATCATCCCAGTTAAATTGGGCTATTGTATTAGCATTTTTCCTTCTAAGTGCTTTTCCTTCTATGAAATCTGTTAATTTCTCAACTGTCAATATTACATGTTCATGATTCTGGGCAATGGTTCCAAATAATGGATGTATAATTTGTGAAAGATCCAACTGGTCATAGTCACATAAATTGGTTCTTTGATCTCTTTCATCACACACTACTGGCACATAATACATGATTTTATATACTTCATTGCATCTTTATACACATTACTACTTGTCTAATAATAATTCATCAACACTTTCCTTGCAGTATCATTAATTTTATGATGTCTTTCTTCTTCAGCCATCCCTTTATGATTTGCCGCTATTATTTTGAATTTTTCCTTGTTATCAAAAATTACTCTTTTCAGCGAAATGCCTCCTTTTGCTCTTTTATATAAATGTTCCTCGATAATACAATAAAATTTTAATTTTTGCCTTAATCATGGCAAATCTAATTTCCCGACATCACACCACCATCTTAACTCTTTCAGATATGTTTTTATCCACATTAAGTTCTTCTCCTTTTTATTAATCACATTGACACACAGAATCATTTTATCTACAAATGTTTCATTATCCATCTCCTCTATCATATGAATGCTGGGATACCTTGATAAACTGTCTGCATTTCTGTGTCTTTTCATGCTCTTGTAACATATTTAAAATTTAAACATTTGTAAGGCTAATATCCAACGCATCAATTTTCCTTTGGTTCTGCCTTGTTGAACAACCATTTAAAAGCTTGGTGATCCACCTATATGTCAAATACTTGTCTTCAACATATCGCTCATTCAATCTACACTAAAAACAACTGATAAGCATTCTTTTTCTGTAACCAAATAATGTATTTCATGACTTTTTAACTTTCTAGAATCAAAACTTATTGGCCTTAAATTTCTTTTTTCATCCTTTTGTTCTAGAACTGCCCCAAGAGAAGCTTTACTCAGGGTTGATAAATTATCGTAATTTTCAAAATTTTTGGTAAAT